ATCCAGAAATTCAGAAAGTTGCTGAATTAGAGCAGTTACTGAATCACTTTGAAAATAATCTTAGTTACTGTGATTATTGTAGTTAGTGTAGATGTACTGTATAGTGGTCCTGTAATTAACATGTATTAATTTTGGTAATGGAGAAAAACATCTCTTATATCATAGTTTGTCCTTGATTACTTGCAATGTGATCTGTCAGAGGCCTTCATAACAAGAGTGATATGGCACTCAAGGGCAGCAAGCTCTGTCCCAGAACTGAGACTTATCTGGATGTAGAAGCAACACAGAAGCTGTTAAGTATATTAGTAAATTGGATTCTGAAAATCCAGCCTTCCTGATATACTGCTTACACAGACTCTGATATTAGTCTTCCTGATGTGCTTGCTGTATGTACTCTCTTGTGCTGAATAAGTAACTACACTAATTTTGCACGTGGGCCTCGATTCAAAGATTGATGTTGCTGGGTAATGAGAGTTTTGCTTTATACAGAGATCAGTTGAGAATAGAAATCAAGGGAAGCAGAAACAGTGAGGATTTGTTGTGTATATAACCAATTGTAAGGGTGTATGTTGAGAGGAATGTGAACATGCAGAAATGGGAGCAAATGTATATTAAGTTTGGTGTTAGGAAGGGTGCTGCATATGAGCAGTTTTAAGATGAAATAATAATGTATCTTTACATTGACATTTTGCTAAGATATTGAGGAAATTTAAATATTTTAGAAGTAAAACGACAAAGTCGCTCATTTAAATGTTTGCGGAAAGGAGTTCTGTACAAAGGTGAATATCCTTACTTCCTTTCTTATAGTTCATGTTTAGTCTCCATATTCAGTAAATGTAGAATGTGTTTATGAATCTATTTATACATAAATTTCCCCTTAAAGTATAGATGGTGTAGAGTGTTTTCATATAAAGAATACATTTAACCCTGTTTTGATTTGATTTTCTCTCATGCGTTTATAAGTCCTCTGCTTTAATGCATCCCCATTTTGGAAACGTAAGGGGAAGTGAAAAATATTTTATTGATAAAAATCTGTGTTAATATAAATATGTTATGAGACAATATAAAGAACAACTATTCTCTTGTATTTTAAGATTCCAAATGAGAGTTAATAGGTTATCTTACACATAAGGTTTGGTGCACACAAATGGGGTTTTTGCCAAGTGCTGTTTATATAACTATGGAGAGACAAGTCTAGTTTACAATTGGCTAATACCTTGGCATTCAGAAATCCTGCACTGGTAGGGAGGGAATATTGGGGTCCTGTTTTCCATTTAACTGATGTGTGTTGCCACAGAATTAATAAGCATCATAGAGTAATTAAATGTATTCTGGCACTGTCACATCTTATAATTATTCCTTCCAACAAAAAAGTGATTGTGTTTAGAAAACATTGTACATCTGGGCTGCACAAGGGTTGCAAGTTGGAATAATTATTGCTGAGGTTTCATCTCTATCCCAATCAATTTTCTGTAGTCAGATATGGAGCTCATTATCTCCGAGTTATAGAGCAACATTAATTTGAATCTCTTCTGTGAAATTCTAAATTTGAAGATTGCATTGCCACTTCACAAAACAATGCATAATGTAGCATGTAGTTCACAAACAAAAAATGAGATCCTGTTCTGGCATTGCTATTAAGTATGCGCAGGCCTAATTAGAGGATGCTCGTTAGTGCTCTGTTGATAAACTTGGTTGACACTTCTCTCAAGCAAAAGCAGCTTAGGCCTATTGATGCACAATTAATGCTTATTTTAGTTATGTTGGAATGTGGATGTGGTTTAAGGATAAAAATGGAAAGTGGGCTTTTCTTGCATGTTCCTCAGATATTTAAAAAACTGCAATTGTTTAAATCTCCCAGCTACAACAGCAGGGAAACATTCCTAAGTTTTATTGCCAATCAAGTACTAATAGTGTTGCTTTCTAAATACACGATGAGTGTATTGGGACACCAAAATATTTTCAGAAGGTATAAGGGCCATGATTCAAATATCAAGGTATTATTTCAGTACTATTTCCTTTTGAGGTTTACGTCAAAATTCTTTGTCTGTATATTAACTGCACTCTGGATGTCTCTAAAGTATTTAATGAGTGGTAACCAGTAATTTAACACATAAGAGTGCAGTAGTTTTGACTTACTGTATACTACTATCCCATACTTAAAATATGTATGAAGTTGCATGGATACAAATGACTTGGGCAGTGAAAATTTGAAGAAGGCACATAATGTTATAGGGATCTTGGTGTCTGTTATTTATTGATTGAGAGAAAACAAAGGAAATAAAAACAAAGAAATTTAGCATATACCTGTGAACTTTGTGAAATTGTAAGTTTGAATACCTTGTGAAATTAGTTTGTAACAGATAAAATAAGTCACTTTGTTTTTAATTCACCATGAGCAATATTTTTCAGATTTCCTAGTTTGGGATTTGTCAATCCACACAAAACTGTGTAGACAAATTGGTATTTTATCTTACAGCATCGAAAAGTCTGGATTCTTTCAAACCTAAATTGAATTACTCACTTAGTTGGATTTTTTGTTTGTTTTTTCTGATGAAACTACTCTGACTGGAATAAAATATTGTATTATGATCTTAATGCAGTTAATTCTACTGATGAAAATAACCAATAGCATTAGGTTGGAAAGGAATCCAAATCTACCTTCAGTATTATATGTTTAGATAAATGTTTATTGCTGTACATTTGTGGTATTCCAGCAAATTTTATAAGGGCTGCTGATCTTTGTGCAGGAGTGACCCGTTTTAAGGGACACAGGAGAAAATGAAACGGACAATCCTTTGACAGGAAGAAAGCTGAAGGGACGGAAAATAAATGCGCTGTTGCTTATAGCCCCAGGATGAGCACAGACACTTCTGATAGGTGTTTGGAGGAAAATTATTCCCTTAAAAAGCTCTTATGTGTTAGTATTATTTACACCCTTGTACAGGAAATGAAATGACAGCAGAGCCAGGATTTTCTGTTGTTTTCTGAACAGGAGGCTGAGCAAAGTACTCTGGCCCTCTTCGTTTCAGCTGGAACAAATGACCCTTTTTATTAAGCTGTTGTTGGAGCTGCTGACGGTATTAATTTTTAAGAAGCTTCCAAATCTACTTTAACTGCTCTAAAAATACTGATTACCTCCAACCAGTACCAGTACCCCAGTGTATATTTATTTAAAAAAATGAGAAGGGGGTGGGGGCTGTCTCCATAACCCCTTTAGCCTCTGTGTTTTACTCCAGGCATCAGTGTTGGTAACATTGCTGGTTCAACCAGCCGATGGCAGATTAGAAAGCCTTGTTGGAACCACGTGATTCACAAGTTTGAGATCTATTGTCTAAGCTAGATTCATCAGACGCCATCAGAATTTCAAGTGGCTGAATGAAATTCAAATGCGCTGTGTGGCATCTTTTCTCTCTTTATCCCCCTGTTTGTTCCTCTTTTTTTTTTCCCAAAGCTGAAAAATACATCTTTGATGAATCTGCTCCTCACCCTTAAGCTGTCTGTCTGCTTCTCATCAGATCTCAGGTTGCGGTTCACTGAGCAGAAGAAAAGATTTTAATAAAAGCCGCGCCGAGGGCTGTAATGCATCATTTTAGACCCCTAATTACATTACAATGACAAATATCAATGGTGACAACAGCAATAACCTACATCCTTTAATGGCCATGTAGAGAGAAAAACGTTTGGGCTCATAGCCATTATATTTAGTCTTCATTTAAGGTGAAAAAACGGTATTTTATTTTTTTACAAACTTGATCTTTTTGAAGATGTCTCAGTAGCTGTGGAAAAAAGGGGGTCAAAATTAGATGATAGCCTGAGTTGAAGTGGTGTTTCTGAGGCAACCTAGGCCCTGAAAAAAAGGAATTGTCAGCCTAATTTTATTAAATAACGGATCCTTTGTCCCCTCCTAATTAGTGTGACCATGAAAAATTCATTGATTCTGTAATCTGATTCTTTCATACCTAAGGAATCCAGTTTTAGATTTGCTAGAAACAAGAAACATTTGTAAATTCAATATGCTATGTCTTTTAAACCTACTTCAGTAAATATTTATCTGTTATGTATGCTTGAGTCATGATTTATGGATATCCTTTTCTAAATTAGAGGGGGGTGTAGAACAGTCATTGTTTGGATATTTATTACTGACATTGTTAATTTAGATGTTGTTTAATGATTAATGGTTGTTTTTTTCCCATAGAAGGAAAGTTGTAGTAGTGTGCGTCCTAAGTTTCAATCACACCTGAACAATTAACCTCTCATGTTAAACATTGTAGGTGCACTGCAGTCTCAATTACATCTTTACTTGCAGTATTTGTTACAAAGCCAGTAAGAAGCATTTTAGTTATTATATAACATAATCTAGTATAAAAGTTTACAGTAACAAAATTAAACTTTAATGACATTTCCTTAGAAACTTTGACACTGACTGCCACTGTGAATTATTGTCTACAGCAGATACTTTTATGAGTACACTCATCATGCTGTGTTTAAGATTTTAAATTTCATTTCAACTGAGCTGTTTGTTTACTGATCAAATTGTGAATGATATCTGGGGAAACCGCTTGCTATTTTACTTAAAATATGATAACAATATTTTCTTATAATGTTTTGCCCTTTTAAGCTCTTACTGCCCTTCAGTAAACACACCTACCCTTAGAACCTGAAATTATTTTTTAAAGGAAAATTTGCAAATTAATAAATAAACATTAGAAAATGAAATAGTATCACAGAAAACTAAATCCCCATTTTTCAAAACTGAAACCATGGTGATGATGCCAGTTCATGCAATAAATATTAGGTTTAAAGTAAAGAAATTAAATTAGTTACAGCAGGAGAGCAATACACAACTGGGTTGTCAAGTTCCGTTCTGTGCCAAATCTAATTACAAGCTGCTGCTGTGAGACTGTGGACATTTTATCTGGAAAACTTAATAAATATATGAAAAGCATATTTAAAGGCATTTTATTCTGACACTAATGGGCCTCATTTCTTTCTTGCAGGCGGAAATTGTGAAAAGACTGAATGCTATTTGTGCCCAAGTTATTCCCTTCTTATCGCAGGAGGTAAGGCCTCAGAGGGATGTACTTTTAGATGCCTTGTCAGGTGACACAAAAATGAAAATGGAGGAAGGCATTGCCTTTGATGTTAAAAGCCTAGTCTGTTTCTTACTGCACTCTTGGGTTTTATTCTTGTGTATGTTCAGCTAGGGTAGTTATCGCGAATAAGCTCTAGCACCATTGTGTGTAGTCTTGTATTTCAAAATACACCATCTAATCCGGCAGTACTGGGGCAGAAGAGAACAAGCCAGAAGGATCCAGAAGTGTGATTTAAAGACATTTTTGGTTTTTGGGACATGTAGGGCTTTTCATTAAAAAAAAAAATGTAATGGCCTTATCACCAATGAAAGCACTGTTGCCACATTTTTATCTCACTCATGCAACCACATTATTGTGTCATAATGTGAATGTGATTGCAAATTACAATGTGCCAAAGCAACCAGAGTCAGCTGATGACTGTCCAAGTCAAAAGACATAGAAAGAAGTACGCAGTGGAAAGTGTGGAATTCAAGTTAATAGTGATGGAAAAGCAAAGGAACCTGAAATTTTCCACCCAAGAACGTTATCCTAAGGGAAGAGCTTGTGGAATATTTGGCCTACGCAGGTTTAATGGACATAATTTTTAAAAAATGAGTGAAATTGATATTAATGTCAGTGTTTAATAATTATCCTTGTTTGCTATAGAAACATTCAGGAAATTTCTCCCGTCTTCATTCTTGTTTAACATACTGCACACGAGTAAAAAGATTTGCAAATACTTATCAGAACAAATAGTTATTCAGTTATATACCCTTATAATTGTTGTATAGCATTGAAACAGGTGTTTTTATTTACATGTGTCATTGTGCCAAAAAAAAGAAATTGGCATGTTTCTGAACCATTCTAATTTCTGTTGTTTTCTGTGAAAAATGTCTGCAAATATTTAGTTTTTTGTTAGAACCTAAGGATATAGAGTTTGCAAACACGACGGCTAACCAAGGATCTTGTCAAACTGTCTCCTGGAAGAGGCCTTCAGCAACATGCATGGGTGGCTTGTTCCCAACTCCCACATTCTTTTGTAAAAAAAAGTGCCAAAACATGGCCAGAACATAAATGGGAAAAAAAAGCAAATATTTAGTTTTTTACATTTTCACCTTCACTACTTTCAATGACATATTAGAGACACACCCAGAGGTGAGTGGGGGGCCTGGGAAAGGCTCACCCATAACCATTGGTGCCTCTTCTGTGACTGAGGAGCACAGTAGGTATTGGCACACAAAATGAGTTAGAGGTGGCAAGGAGTAATGTGCGTTTAAAAACTCTTGAGATTCACTTTGAAGTGTATTGTTATGGAAAATATTATGAAACTGATCAATAATATGGAAAAGGGGCAAATGTAGCTGATTGCCAAATCAATATGAAAGGGATAGGCGGCAGTGGTAAACAGTATTATGAAAGCAATGGGAACATAAAATCTTACATAAACAGTGGCAACAGGCTTATCTTGGAATGAAATTCCACAGATCTCTGTACTGATCCAGTTAGCAAAAATATAGGGCATTTTGAAAACACAGGAAATGTACAATTGTGCCAGTCTTTAATCTTTGTTTAGCTGTCCAGTTGCTGACAAAGACTTGAAGTTGTTTTGCCTGTGGAGCTGAAGCCTTTGTCCTGTATGATGATCAAAACATGGAGAATTGTTTTGAGATTTAAAGGTACAAGCTGGTAAAATGAAACCAAACAACTTGATCAGTACCCATTCACCTACCTTAACCTTAGATAACTAACTCAGTCAAGTGGATTTGTATCCATGTTACCATCAGAAAATAAAATTACTCTCAGATTTTGCAACAATACTTCATATCATAACACTTTACAACACATTAAATTAGCATTGATTAAAAAATCATAGATCATGATTAGTTAACAATTCACTAATCATGGAAAATAAAATTTTGGTATGGTATAATATACAATGTTATCACCAGCAGTTGAGTACATGATGCCATTTTCCGTATCATATTTTTTTTCATTTGTTTTGGATGTATGTGCAATTGAGACAGGGCCTTTTGACAGTGTAGCTTTCAGTCATGTTATGGCAGCAAAGCCTTTTTTATGAACCGGATAAAGGTACAAGGAGATGGTGACAGCCTTTACCACAATGATAAAACAGATGGTAGGTTTTATTAATAATCCCCAATAACCTTTATTGTTAAAATACAACAAGGGAAAGTGGGCTTCACTGAAGTGGTTTTATTGAGAATCAGGTAGATGACCTAAGTGTGTATTCTAGAACAAACCGAAACTGATAAGGGTATCTTGAGATGAAGCACTAGAAATGAACACATCCATTAGGTTTTCAAAACCAATGTGCAGGTACTGTTGTTTTTTATCCTGGAAATACATTACAAATACCACAGAAAAGGGGAAAAAAAAGTATCGCTAATGTTTCTGCTTTAAATCCACAAGCCTTATAGGAGATAATGCGTTTTGCACCTAATATCTAAAAGTAGCATGTAGGAAAACAAAGAAGTGTATAGAGTATATATTTCATAAATAGTGGATTATCCTCCAGTTCTTTCTAAGAGTGTTTATCTTCCCTGGTTATGGAGGAGTGACATTTCATGTGAATCTGGCACAGATTTGTTTTGGATTATTGGGAGATTTGAACTAATGAAATTAGATTAATACAGATGTTGTTACCACGGCGGGGTTAGATCATAAAGCATAATATGGAATGGTTTATACCTTCTGAGAACTGTAATCTGATGAATGAAGAAAAAGCCCGTGGCCTTTCTGATCTGTTTTTGTAAACAGCACCAGCAGCAAGTGGTGCAGGCAGTGGAGCGAGCCAAACAAGTGACCATGGCAGAGCTGAACGCCATCATTGGGGTACGTGACCATTTCCTGTCTTTGTGTTACCATGGGAATATGATTCTTTTCTTTATCCTTCTTTGCGAGATGCCAGAGGGGGTAGGATTTCAAAACCTAAAAGCAGTTCTCTGAAGTGTGGATTCCTGCGGCATTTCAAAGCCGCAGAGTTGAAATTGTCAGCAAAGTGGATTAACACTATTAATGTTATTAGGTGAGACTGCAGATATACGTTTATGCTTCACTTCATCCTTGCTGTGAATGCTGTGGTTGCAGAACACCCTGACTAGAAAAATGCATGAAAGTGTACGTCGTACGGCTGGATTTTATTTTTTTTTAATTGACGAAATAACACATTTCAGGTACCTGTACACGCTAGAAATGTTTTTGAAAAAGTATGGTGTGGAGCATGCGCGGAAACTGACCAGTCATGAATGTCATTAATTGCTTCCTTTTCTTACCAACAAATGTAACTGCAAAATATAAATATGTTAAAACATAACTGAGGACTCTTCGGTTTTACTATTTAAAATGTTTTCATCCATTGAATATTCGTGCCTATTTAGCAAAATGCGTTTAGGATATCTGGTTTGCGTTTGTAAATCAATAACATCTGGTGATTTTACTGTTTGTGTAAAAAAAAAAAAGTTTTGCTCCAAATTGCAGATTGAAGGAGAAAAATAAATAGAGGATTATACATTTTAGAGGTAAAGGACAGGTGGTTAGTCTAATATTGTTCGGTTACAAAAATAAAAAGAGCATCTTTTTAAAGCTGAACAGGTTCAGCAATGATTTCTTTTAATTTCCATGCTGAGCAGGACACCATCATTGCTCTGGTACCTTGATAACACTGTCTTAAAACAATATTTTACATTTCATGGAGTTATTTTGTACCACAAATCAAGGAACAAAAGAAGGAATCAAAGAACTGGTTGTTCACACAATGTGGCTGAATTAAGGTGCGAAGGTGTTTTATCTGAATGGTGTATTAATCACAGGGACAGCTCTCCAGCAGGTGCTTGCAAGTGTTTTACATTAGATGTTTTTCCTCCTTTATAATAAAGATCCAAAAGTTGTATTTGTCCAGTTTGTTTTGCACTTTACATTATTTATGGCTTGCACATGAAAGTCTTTTACTTTTATTTTATTCATCGTATCAAAAACACTTTGAAATGCTAATTATTCCATTTACTTTGATTAAAATTCAAATTGCTGAGTGAAGATGAGGATAAGGGTCCCTGAATAATCAATCTAAAGTGAGGATAGTGTTTCAATTAGGTCTCTGTTGCGTTAAAAAAAAAAACGCAACAGAGGTTTGGGGTGTTGAGAGCAGATCTAAAGCCACAGCATCCTGCCATCATTACTTGTGCATAAAATGTGTTTTTGGAACAGAAAAAAAAGATGCACCATATTGCTTTCTATGAAGGGCAATGGTTGAGATACATTAAGAAGTAGGGCAAAAAGTAACAATTATTTTTAAACAGGACCATTTAATTATTATATGCATTTATCATATAAGAAAGCAAGAATATAATTCTTCATTGTGAGCCTTTGGGAGCAAGATGGAGCCTAATTATCTTCATCATTAGTTTGTTTTATGGGACAAAGAGTGAAAATTTAGAAATAAATCTATATATAAAATAACACACACAATATTCTTTTAGTCTTTTGAAATTGTCTGAACTAAACACAGATAAGGTATATATTAAAAACTAAAAAAACAAGAAGTTTTAAAAGACATCAGTTTCTCAAAAACTAGAGAAACATCCCCCAGCGATGTAAAAAGAAACATTTCTGCCAAAGAGCCTCAGGCAATGCCTCTCCAGATTTTTTAAGGAGTTTTGAATTACAGTATATACATGCACCTGTAGCTGGCTGTCTTTTTTCCAGGTTGATTTGAGTTTACAACAAAGCACACATTTATTTTATCTTATTTTAACCTCAGTGTTCTGACAACAAATTAGAATGTCTTGAAGTTTTTTTTTATGTTGTCTTCCCATACAACATTAAAAATTTTATAGCAGTATCATTCATCATTGCTCATTGTGAATGATATGTGCCACATGAGAAGGTGATTATCATCAAACCGAAGCTTTTTTGCTTTGTCTCAGACAATACACAAGTAGTGCATTTACTATTGAGTGAACTAGTTGTATTTTAGATCAGTTAAACTCGACAGTAGAATTTCCGTTTTTTAACCTGATCTTATTAGACATGTGAACTATGTAAGGCTGGTCTTGTTAATACCAGGTTAGGAAACCTCTATGGTTTAACCTCTGGTTGCTGCTAGCAGAATTTCTAATCTGATGCCCCAGTATGATGCGTCCCTAAGCCTTATTAGATGTTGTCTTTTGAATGAGATGTTCAACTAAGGTCTACTTGGCTGTTAAAGATCCCATGGCAGTGTTCATGTTCACTATTTGTAAGAATTTGAGTCACATGGTGGCTGCTATTCATCATCCAGGTGGGTGCTGCACTTTAGTGGTGGACATACTGTATGAATGAATAATTCCTGCCTTTATATAACGTTATTCAAAATTCCATTTGCTCAAAGGATCTCAAGGAGCTTTACATATAGAAGTGGATCTGCCTCATCCACCCCTGAAGCATCTTATCCACTGTGGTTTTTCCAGTCTTCAGATGCCATCTACACCACTTTCAGCGGCAGTGTCCCAGTACTAATCAGACACAGCACTGCTTAGTTTCTCATCCATCAATCCATTTTCTGACAGCTTCATCCAATTCAGGGTCGCAGGGGATCCAGAACCTATCCTGGCAAGATCCATCATCCACCAGTCCATTGAGGGGGGCACACAAACAGACACATACACTCACATCAGGGACGGTTTTCCCAGAAGCCAGTCAATCTACAAGTATATATTTGGACTTTGGGAGGAAATAGGAGCACCTGGATGAAATCTACAAGGAAAGAACATGCAGATACCACCCCAGGAATTGAACCCAGGGCCCAGGTGCTGTGACGCAGCAATGCTAACCACTGCAGCACTATGTTGCCCTCTTAGTTTCTCTGATCTGCCACAATCAGGCTACAAATGGAAAATTCTGCTTCCATAGCACAAGGGCCACCTCTTGTGTCTAAAGCACTTTGGAACAAAAAATGCTATACTAAAGCAATACATTACCATTATTTTAATGTGTTGCATTTGTATTATTTTCTTCTTATAAATTTAGAGGATGGCCGCTGAAGACATTGTTAGTGTTCTGATTCCAATCCTCACTGCAAGGAAGCAATATCTAACCAACATCCTGTTTGTACATACCTATAGATGTAAAACAGTAGTACTTTTCCGTGCATTGGAATAGGATATGATGAAATGTGCCTTTTTTATTTCCTAAAATTATGCCAATGAATCCAGCAAATGAAGTGAGTCAGTGATCCATGGAATTTAAATGCAAAATATTGAAGCCAGCCTTGGAACCTGGAGACTGCTTGTTCTCTTGACAATAAAACAGTTGTGTTTAATGGAATGAAACATTGTTATAATGAATTTTTCTGTGGGTCATGTTGAGTTTCAAGAGCAACAAATTGTAACATGTTCTGTTAAGTGAACAGGTTTTCAAACCAGTACTTAAAAACAAATACATCCTGCTATTTTAATAGATAACTGCCATGAAAGTTCTTCAGTACAGTATACATAACTATACTGTAAAAGTACATAATTCATTACAATATTAAACAGATTTGTGCGGTTTTACATTTATGAAGTCTGATAGATTCTCAAATCTAAATATTTTTTGTACCTGGTAGTTCTTTTATAGAAAACCAAAGGGTGATGTTTTGTCAGATAATAGTTTTTTTTTAAAGTGCCTTTGAATTGTTTAGAGATAACATAGTAATCAATTCAGGAGCCTCTTGCATATTCTAGTGCATAGCATTTAAAATAGTGGGAAGTCTCAGAAAATTATTCACCATCAATTTTCCAAGCAATAACAAGGCTTGGTGGCTTTTTGCCTCTTACCATGTTAAGGGCTTTCAAAATGATTGCATAAACTATGTTCGAGAACAGTGAGGAACTAAAACTGATTAAAATGTTCATGCTTCAGTGGGGTTGACGGAACAATTCATTTGGGCTTTCTCTGCCTCCTGCAGCTCAAGATGAAGTATTAAAATTCAATGGATTAAATCTCTCTCCTCTCAGTTCAGAAAAACATTAGGTTTTAATGGGTTTAAACTCATAATTTTTTGGTCTGGGCTGGAGAAATGTCCAAAAAATCTAGTTGAATGTTATGTGAGCAAATGCAATTCAAATTGTTCTTTCTTTTAGTATTCCAAATTTTTAATTTGTGTTCTGTGTGAACTTCTAGAATAATATTAGATACTTTATTAAGCATATCACAGCGAAAGTACTTAAATGCTTATTGCTTACAATTTGAGCAGTTCACTTTGTTTTATAAACAAGTGACAAGGCTGAACAGATTTGCCAGCAATATCTTTTGTCATGCTATGCAGTCATTCTTTAATAGAGTTCTCAATAGGAAATACTGACAAAACCAATCAATAGCACAACCTAAATTCTGGGGACTGCCTTGATGGGACTAATTCCATTCCCCAAAAAATGTCCACGACAAATAAAGCCTTTCAAACTTAGAGAAATTTGACTAACATACATTAATTTACTGAAAGATAAAGAATTATCACCAAAAGAAAAACACTTACCAAAATTGAGAGTGGAAAACAATCCATGTCTCTGTCTTCTTAATCTATATTAATATCCCAAGAAGTACAAGATATAATTCACATATTCTTTCTTTGTTCTCCTGTAGGCATCTTGACCATATGTATTGCCGAATCCTAAAAAATGTAATAAATATAGAAGAGCATCGACTGAATCTTAACCATAATCGTGCAGCTGGCAACACAATATCTTTCATATCCTTTCTTATGAAATGCAATTTAATGTGTAGATAACTCCAGGTTTTGTGTGTAAGTAAGGCGATGCAACAAAAAAACAGAATTTGACCTGAAAATTTTTGGAATTGCAGAAAAGACCTTTGATTTT